GGTGGGGATCAGAATGGGCAGAAAATGGGGCACACAGAGGCTGAAAACGGAGCGCAATGAGGCCAAAAATGGGATGCGGAGGCCGAAAATACAGCATGCCAAGGCTGAAAACGAGATATGGAGGCTGAAAATGGGGCCTGCGGAGATGGCAACAGGCAATGGCAATCCCTGCAGCCTGAAACAGCTGATCGTCAGGAGAAGGATCCAACTGATAATCAGCTGCTTGTGCTAATCAGGCTGTGCTGAAACTGAAACAGGCTGCAAGGAGGCAAATTGCTGGGAGGCAGAGGCCAAAGGGTAGGGCCCAGTGGGTGGCAGGTATAAGTGTAAGGGTATATTCAGTGTATAAGACGCACCCAAATTTTCACCCTCTATTCTTGGGGGGTGGGGGGAAATGTGTGTCTTATATTCTGAAAAATACGGTAATGGCTTTCAGCAGGGAGATGTTCCATTTTACATGTGCCAATTTCTTTAAAGAAAGTTACTGAAATAAATTGGATTCGTGTTCCTGTTTGAGCATTTTTATGGCTTGCCCCAAACACCAGAAGGCCCCCAGGTTAGCAACTGTGGCGAGTTTTATTACCCTGCATTTTATTCTCCTGGAAATAAAGCAAACCTCCCCCTCTCTCTCTTTCTCTCTCTCTCTCTTTCTCTCTCTCTCTCTCTCTCTGTTGTGTTTCCTTCAGAACCAAGAAAAAAGTGGTGGCCCCTCCAAAGGTGAAGGGAAAGGTGAGTGATTTGGTAAGACTTTCACAAGAGTTTTCAGCCCCGGGGAAGGCGGGTGGGGGAGATGGCAGAGGATGCCATCATGATGAAGGTCTGACTGGGTTTGTATGAAAAGTGGTCTCCAGACTGGCTTTGATCATTTGTCTGAGTGCAAACTTCCTAGTTCCACTTTTCAGAATTGTACGAAGCTTGTACTACCCCAGGGATAGTACAATAACTAACTAATGAGACAGTTGTTTTCGGCGTGGAGATAACAAAAAGGGGACTGAAAAATTTGGAGTCGTTCTATAATGCAGGGGTGTCAAACGCAAGGCCCGGGGGCCAGATCCGGCCCTGCAGGGTGCTTAAATGTGGCCCACGGAGCTGCCTTGGAAATAGCAAAGGACTGTTCCACAGTGCCTCTGGCAGGGAAAAGTGCCACCACAGTGCCTCTGCCACTATTGCACAATGCCTTTGCGTGCGGCCCTCTCGAGCTCCGGCTTCCCTGGCAGAGGGTTGCAGGAGGACGTCGCAGCAGGAAACGGAGCTCAGGAGCCTGTTTCCTCTGGCAGAGCACTCGGGCCACCAAAGGCGGGTGACATCGAGCTGGCCACGCCCACCCCAGCCCCTCCAAGGTCAAACACAACCCTTGATGTGGCCCTCAATGAAATTGAATTTGATACCCCTGCTAGAATGTATTTCTGAGCCCTAGCAGAGTAGTAGTATGTCTCCAAAAGCGATCACACAAAGCTCTTTGACAGTTGGATTGACTTCTGAAAGGACATTTCTCACAGAACTGTTGTTTGTGTGTTTTTAGGAGCCTTCTGGCAAACCGGAGAAGAAGATTCCCCTTCCCGTCCCCTTGATCCACTCCAGCGGTGCAGTTTCCCTTTCTCCAGAGTCCCAGGGAGTTGTCGTCGGCCTCAGCCCTCAAACGAGGGAACTGTTGGCTATGAGTTCAAATCCAGTCCCCAGTGGCATGGCTGGTGCTCCTCCTCCTCCTCTTCCTCCCCCTCCTCCTCCTCCTCCTTTCAGCATGGATGATTCCCTTGACGAGGACTTGATCCATCACACGACTTCATCTCTGGAAGCTGTCTCCAAGGAACTGGCTGCGCTCAACAGCCGGGCAGGAGGCAACAGCCCTGACTTCACGCTCTCTCCAGCTCTGAAGATGCCCGCGGAGAAGCCCTCGACTCAGGCCAGCTTGGAAGAGAAGAGGGTCTTCCCCAAAGTGGCCCCCGCCCCTGTTCATTCAGCTGCAGGAGGCTCCGTGCAGTCCCCACTCAATTTCTTGGCGGAACAGGCATTGGCGCGGGGTCAATCTCCTCCAGAGAAAAAAATCGAGGCCCCTCCNTAAGGATAGTTGCCCCTCCCGAATGTTGTATGGATGTTGCCTACTATTTTTAGTATATGTCTCTATTTTGTTGTCTGTATCCCCCCTTTCCTAGTTTTATGTGAGCCGCCCTGAGTCCCCTCAGGGAAAAGGGCGGCCTACAAATTCTAATAAAACTACAAAACTACAAACTACAAACCTCCCGAAAACCCATCTTTTGGGGAAATATTCAATAGGAAATGAACAAATGACCAAGCAGAGTCTGACTAACATTGAGAAAGGGAAAGGATACATCTCAACCATCATAGAAGCTAAATACTCAGAAGCAGATTTCTGTCAGGCATTACAAGATACTAAATAATGAAGTCTGGGAAACATATTTCATAGAGTTCATGTCATGGTTGCTTAGGTTGAGGTGGCATTTGAGGTACTAGGTGAGAAACATCCCAGATGTGAAAGCTGGACTGGCAGCTTGAGATCATATTTAAAATAGCTCTTTCAATCTCCGTTAAATGACACTGTATGTAGGGTTTGGGAGATAGCCTTGTAAAAACCTGATAAGCGTGTCAGGGTTCCAAGTGACAGACCCATATCAAACAAAACTCTTAAGGCGGGTAGATTCCTCAATGAATAATTTTATTGGATGTATCATATTGGCACAGGCTGGTGAAAACGGATTCTGATTAGCCCCACGTTTTTCACCTAATTAAAAGTCAAAATTTTCCGCTTTCTCAAAACAATCAGTCACACATTCCAATCAGGATACTGTCCAGTTAGGTGACTCCAGTCCCCTCCTTCCGAGCACCTTCAGGAATGTCCTTGGTTCCCAAGAGAAAGTATTTTGTTTTGACTACAACACCCAACTATCTCCATTGCACCCTCCCTATCCCTCTCCTTTCAGTGTGTCAGCACTGAAGTCTCAAAATGGCCATAGTCAGGCTTTGGGTATGTTATTTGGAATCCTGACAGCCATTTTATTAGAGATTCAGGGATGACAGCATGTTTTTCCACCTGTAGGGATTTGCTCTGCCAAGGTGTGAAGATGAAACTGGATGGGTATGATGTGGAGAAGAACAAAGCTCAGTCCATGGAAGACTGTGTAAAAACATTCCTAGATGCAGAAGTCAAACCTCTTTGGCCAAAGGGATGGATGCAGGCCAGGTAAGAGAAATGAGATGCCACGGATTCCTCCTGTCCCATCTAATCAGTCCATAAGCACCTTAGATGTAGTAGGACTCCCTCCCAACAAGGTGTCGGCCATTTTTTTTTTAATTCCTCAGATCTTATAAAATTGACTACATATTTCATTCATGCATGTGTCACCATGTTAGTGTGCTCCTTCTATATAATTTTACTACTGTTATCCCTGTGCTCTGTGCCATACACTGAATGAAAGAGGTTAGAGGAACGAAAAGCAAATGGTTTTGTAAGTGTTCATAGTGAATATCTGATCTGGAATTTGGCTTGCAATGAAGTTTCTAGTGTTGTGTTTACACTATAAAGAGGCAATTAGATGGCTATCAAATGGGCGAAGCTTCAGCCTAAACCAACCAAGAGTAAATAATGTGAATGAAAGGCTCATAAAAAATAATGTGAATGAAAGGCTCATTGTTTGTTTTGAGCGGAATGGTAGCTATGAACTTCTGAAGAAGTGGCTCTCTGCGCTGTTTGTGTAAATTGGGACGGTGTAGAAATAAGAGTCTACAAGTGCCAGAAAGCCTTTGTCCTGTAGTTAATAGGAGTTGTAGCAGGAATTTGTGATTCTTTTTCTCTCAGAATGACAGTATAAGGGGGTATTGTTTGATTTGTCACTCAGAATAGAATCATAGATCTGGAAGGGACCTTGGAGGCCTTCAAGTCCAACCCCACTGCCCAAGGCAAGAGACCTTATGCCATCCCAGACAGATGAATGTCCAATTTAGTTAGATTTAGTTTAGATTTAGTGAATTGGATCAAATGCTCAAGTGAGTTAGAATCAATTGCAACCAGCTTGCCTTCCATTGGAGATCTCTATACCACATGGGTCAGAAGGAGGCCTGAGAAAATATCTACAGACACCTCACATCCTGATCACAATCTTTTTCCACTGCTCACCTCAGGATGCCACTATATGGCATTGTATGCCAAAACAAATAGACATGGGGACAGTTTTTTCTCTCGAGACATCGCTCTGTTGAACATGTAAATCCCACATCAGTGGGAATTACATATTGTCTTTAAGCATATTTATCCATTCATTATATGTGGCTGTATTACTGTTCTCCTTCTCATCTTCCCTATTACCTTCTGCTGTTGGAATATTAGGATTATATTACTTTGTTGTTTGTATGTATACTCAGAGCTTATGAACTGAAGACAAATTCCTTGTGTGTCCAATCACACTGGGCCAATAAAGAATTTTATTCTACCAGATAAAACAAGATTAGAGGAACAAACTCTTCTTCAGGATGAACCAATGATGTTCAAGAGATGCTTTCTGTCTTTTCTCAGTGGCTTGTTTTACAACCCTAATTTGACCATTTTTTAACAGCGAATGTTATTCCTGTAATTTTGTGGTTCAGTTCTTGTCCTAGAAATCCTTATTCCTGTTTTTTTCAGCACCCACTCCCCCTTTTTTGTGGGGGGGACCAGTTTCGGCTCAGTTTCTCCCCCCTTCTCTTCTTTTTCAGGACATTGTTCAAAGAGAGCAGAAAAGTGCACAGTCATCTCACTTCAATTCCGTGAGTATTTCTTACATTGCCAGGACAGAAATGGGTATCAGGAGTGAAAGACGAGGTCCAGACATGAAAATACAATTAAACCGATCTGCTTAAAATCTTGGTTCAAAGACTGTGCACAAGAACCTTCTCAACTAACAGCTAGCACTTACTTGGAGTTAGAGAAGGCTCAATAGGACTTAAAGGACGCTGAACATTGTAGCTATGTAGGGATACTAGACTAATTCCTTTTTTTAACTCCGCCCCACATTCTGCCTTCCTTCTCCAACAGTGCGACTCCCTCACTGCCTACCAAGTTTAATTGTTGTCATTCAAAACGCAACCGTCTGTCATGCTGTTGCTTAAAATTTTGTGAGGACTGTGCTTTTGTGCTGAGTTTAAAAAAATGACTCAAAATTAAAACTGTATTACAAGTAAGGTCATGTTACAAATGTACTACAACCATAGCAAGAGAGTATGCTTTCACTACTAAGCAGCAAAAGGCACCTGTCTACCAATCAATGGGGCCAACAGAGACCCTTGTTTGACATCTCTGTTATATAGTGTCAAAACTCATCCTCTAAACTCTACATGCAGATTTTTCCCAGTTTTCCTGCTCACTATGCTTTTAACTGGAAGTGCAAGCAAGTTTAATTACCGTATTTTTTGGAGCATAAGATGCTCCAAAGTATAAGATGCACCTAGTTTTGGGGGAGGAAAACCAGGGGGGGGGGATCTGCCTCTGCCTCCCAGCAATTTGCCTCATTGCAGCAAACAGCCCATTTCAGTTTCAGCACAGTCTGATTAACACAAGCAGCTGATTGTTGGACCTCCAATCAGCTGTTTCAGGCTGCAGGGATTGCCATAGCCTACTGCCGCCTCCACGAACCTCATTTTCGTCCTCTGCATCCCGTTTTCAGCCTCGGCGCACCCCATTTTCTACCCGTTCCAGGTGGTGGGGATCAGAATGGGCAGAAAATGGGGCACACAGAGGCTGAAAACGGGATGCAGAGGACGAAAATGAGGTTCGTGGAGGCGGCAGTA